AAAAAAAAAAAAAAAAAAAAAAAAAGGCTGAAACAGGAAATAGTTTAATAGAATTTCAACCTTCGCTTCATTGTGACAATGCCTACAATCAAAGATCTCATCGCAACAGGGCGTTCTAATTTTGCATCTCCTTCGATAATGCGAGCACCTAGACCAGAACAATCGATAGTTAAGGAACGAGATACAAAATCCAAAGCGAAAACGAAACGCAGATCGACATTTACAAAACAGAAGTTTAGCAGAGCAGATTCATACCCGAAATTCCCAGATTCACGATCCGCAGCATCTATATTATCAGAAGCAGAAATTTCAGATTCAGATGATGAACGCGAAGATAACGAAGCCTGAATATGAATCTCCATTGAAACGGAAAAAGAGCAAGAACAAACAGCACTCAGAAAAAGAAAAAAAAATCCTTTCGTTACAGAGATCTGCACAGTGCGAGAATTTCGAGTGGGAGTTTAAACTGTCAGTAAGGGTGTTTTGGGGATTTCGCAGTAGGAAGCGTAATGTACCACGCGCCAATCGACGTACCGAGTCGATGAAAACGAGGCTTCAACTGTCAGCAAGCGCACTTCGGGGATTTCGCGCGCCACGAAGCGTAAACTCTCCACGCGCCACTCAATTGAAAAACCGGGGGTTTCAGTCACGCAGCCGGTTTAAGTTCCGCGTGAAAAACACGCACGGCGGGGGAGCAAGTGGGGAAACCATCAGTGGATTTAGAGAAACAGCTGTCGGCCGTTGAAACGCGCGGCAAAATTGTTGGTATTCTGAAAGAACGTTATTTGGATAGGAATCTGACTAATTGCTGACTAGGTTTCTGCCTTGTAACTTAATAACTCCAAATTTCTTCACCTCAAAATTTTTTTGAACCATACCCATATCAATCCATTTAAGTCATATTCAAATTCAGCTTTAAACTTTCCAAAATTAATTACAAACAAATTTAACCCCTTTAAATAAACGACCAAATTAATAAAATAAACTTTTAAATTCTTAATTTATGTCTAATAAATTTATGCTCGTGCGAGCACGCAACCGAAAGGTGGCGCTTATTGTAGGGGTTATGAGCTTATGAGTGGCTTTTCAAATCCCATCAACATCCAAAAGAGCAAAATGCACCCGTGGAGGTGAATCCAAAATGGTCTATATGGGCCTCAAAAGCAGGCTCCTCAACTGGGCTGGGCTTTTATTTGGGCCCAGTGGACTGTACGTGTATAGGGCCCAATAAACGGCCCAATTAATAAACAATCAAAACGACTAATCCCACGTAGGCGGAAGGTGGTGGGCGATTAAGAATGAATTGAAGTGATGACTCAGCGACTTGGCAACGCCTCATTGGTTGATGGCACGTGGAGACGTCCGTCGAAAATGGTATTTCCACGTGGGAGTCTTGTGTCAAACACAATTAATTAAGTTAAATCAATATATCATTAAACTCACAAAACAAGCTTAAACATTTTCACACAAATTTATTATTACAAAAATAAAATAAAATAAAATGGCTGCGTGCCGAAATTTTTATGGGCCGACAGCCAATAAAAGCCCACAATCATGCCGTGCATGATGAAACCCATCCCGTTTCTTCCATGTCCGTTGAAGATTCTCTCAAAGTCAAAACTAAAAAAATGACAGGTGGCATTTAATCATTTTTATTATTATAATTCATAATTTATGAGTAAGTGAATTTAGTTTAATTTTTTCTAAAATAAATATGACAATTATTTTATTAATATTTTACTTATATCGTCCATAAAAATATACTACGAATATTCTTAAAATAAAATATTTTACGATTTAAATATTAATAAATAGATTTAGACTTTATAAATTCATACTAATTAAAATAAATAAAGAAATTTAGGTATCGTTGAAGCACGCCATTTTTTCAAAACGATACCATTTTTTTTAATTAATTTTATTCACCAACAAAAGTCATCCCTTCCTCAGATTAGCCTCCCCAAGAACAAATCACACCAATTATATAATTATTGTATGATTTGATATTTTTTTTAAAAATGACAACAATTAAATAATTAATCACATAATTAATTAATTAATTAACCATCCATTTAGTGAAGAGAAATGACCCAAGCTAAGTTGACATTTAGTTAACAACTTAATTAAGTATTTATTTTGAAGATGAAAAGGAGTTGGCATTTAACCTTATGTCATTATAGATTCAATCGGTTAATTAAGATTAAATATTGCTAATCAACTAATCAGTACAGATTATTTTTAAAAATCTAAAAATTACCATTAATTTTGAACGGAAATAATCTTTAAAAAATTGCTTTAAAATTTTTAATAGCGTTTAAAAAATACCCTTTCAACTAAACTTTAACATATTACTTTACAAGTTTTTTTTTATTAATTTAGTTTTAAAAATAAATATTATGAGTTTTTTTATAATTAAATTACTTTTTAATTTTAAAAAATATTTAATAGGTCTATAAAATTTTAAAATTCTATATATCTAGACAGTGTCAGTTTTAAACATTTTTTTTTTAATTTTATAAATTGTGGGAGACATATTCTTTAATTTTATATTTATTATATCATTTAATATTTAAAAATTTGGAAGATTATTAAATAATTTTTGAAAATTTAAAATTCATGTTTTTGGGGTTTAAGCATCACATGTCATGTTTCGTCCATTTAATCAATTGTTTTTTCACGCTGATTCCTTCATTTCCTCTGTTTATAAGTTAACCGATTAATCGCTTTATCTTAATCCATCAATCAATTGCCTCATTCAAAGTACTGTAACGTTTGACATGGAGCACGTCGGGAAGCATTTGATGATGAACATCAATGAGTTTGAGCTTCAAGATTTCATCCATGGCGACAACTTCGATCAATATGTGAATCTGATTCGTGGAGGGAGTGAGAATCCGATATTTGATAACCTCGACCTTGATTTTATGAATGTCGACAATCGCCTCGATCCTAGCGCGGAATACATTCTGGATTCCAATATTGTCATGAATTCTGATCCTAATTCTTTGTTTAGTTCATTGGAGAGTTTCAATAGCATCATGAAAGAAGTTGAAAACGAAGATGAAGACGAAGACGATACTTCTGTTGAGAACTCTTCTGTCACAACGTCGAAGAAATCGAAGGTCGATCGATCCAGAACTTTGATTTCCGAGCGTAGGAGAAGAGGAAGGATGAAGGAAAAGCTTTATGCATTGCGTTCATTGGTTCCAAATATAACTAAGGTATGAGAAATTGATACTCACATTCGAAATTCTATGTTAGGTCAAGTAGGTTAGGTCGGCTAGCAATTTTAAATTAGTTAAAATCAAACATGTTCAATTCTAAATTCAAACCGTGGATAATTTTGAAATCGTTAAAATCTCAAGATCATTCAAGAACAACAAATTCTTCTGATGTTTTTTTTGAATGAAATGGTTAAAGACCGAATTCATGATGTGGAAAAATGCAGATGGATAAGGCTTCCATTGTTGGGGACGCAGTGCTGTACGTGAAAGAGCTACAAGTGCAGGCGAAGAAGCTGAAAGCGGAGATATCAGTTTTGGAATCCTCAATCAACGAAACACAAACGAGTCATCGAGGTCAAAACCACAAGAAGATTGTTCAAACTTCACATTCTGGCCAATTCCTCCCCTGCAAAATAATTCAGGTACATTTCAAGTTGTAAGATCAGATAAAACTTCATGCTCTGGTCTGTGATGAAATTGTGAAGCTAAGCTGTGTTAATAATGTGCAATTTGGGGTGTTTTTTCTTCATCTTTGAAAGCTGGATGTGTTTCAAGTGGAGGAAAGAGGGTTTTATTTGAGGCTGGTCTGCAAAATGGGTGAAAGAGTAGCCATGTCTCTTTACAAGGTTCTTGAATCCCTCACCAGCTTCAGTATTCAAAGCTCCAATTTGGCCTCTGCTTCTGACAGATTCATACTCACAGCTACCATTAATGTAATTACTTTCTTACATACAATCTGATTCTCTTGAGATGAACTTTTTGGTTGCTTCCCAATGGCTCATGCTATGCCATTGTAATCTGTTTTTTGCAGGTGAGAAATTGTGAGATGGACATGAACTTGCCAAATCTGAAGCTTTGGCTTACGGGGGCACTTCTTAACCATGGATTTGAGTTCTAATCACATCTTAATCTCTCTATTTTTCTTCTTCCTTTTCAGTTTAACCCTTTAAACCAATACAGAGATTGTAATTATTTTAATCAGCAACTTTGTATTGTGAAGCCATTTGAATTTTGAATTCTTAGAGATTAAATTTCACCAAATCTTTGAAGTTATATATGTACCAACATAAACTAATCCAATATCCAATTTGAAAAGCTCCACAAATCTTCATTTCCCAATTCCAAACTACAAACAAAAAAAGTCATATCTATACAAGCAAATATCAGTTGTAACAAACTAATATCAAACATTTAAGAACTAAATGAGAACACTTCATAAGAACATATTCCGACTTGTTTTGTTTAATTTGGACTCGCAGATACTGCCATGAGTTTTGGAGGAACAGGGCTGCCTGGACTGGCTGCTGCAGATCAGACAGATCAAGCTTCCAGTGTTTAAGATTTTGATTATGTTTGAGATCCCTCATCCAGACAGCCAGGCTTTGACAGGATCTGTAACGTTGAACCCCCAATTATCCATGCAGTCGCTTCAGGTTGATGTTGGAGAGGGTTAAGAGGGTGAAGACTTCCATCCTCAAGTTGCAAACCATAAACAAATGGAAGCCTAAGTGTCAGGAAGCTCTCGGGAGGCAACACCACTAGACATCCAAATGTGAACTGCAGTTTCTGCTGCCGTTCAGGAACAGCAGGGGGCAAGCCCAACTCCTGAAAGTAGAAGATCAGTGAATGATATTAGATGTCCATTTGTGTGGACACATCTTAAGTGCCAAATTTTGAGAGAAAACCGACGTAGAGAAAAACAGTTCAAGCCCACTGTTAGCAGATTTGTAATAGTCCAAACTCACCGCTAGCAGATAGTCTTTTTTGGGCTTTCCCTTCCGAGCTTCCCTTCAAGGTTTTCAAAACGCAGCTACTAGGGAGGGATTTCCATACGTAAAGAATGATTTGTTCTGCTCTCCAACCGATGTGGGATCTCACAATCCACTTCTCTTCGAGGCCTAGTGTCTTCGCTGGCACTCCTTCCTCTCTCCAACCGATGTGAGATCTCGCATAATGATAAAAAAGTCTTTTCCGATAATTAGGAATGCATCTTCATAGAAAATCAGGACTAACCTCAAATTGTATCACTGGATGTGTACCCAACACTATTGGAAAGGGAGGCGTCACCTGCCATCAAAAGAAAACAGTATGACAAATAACAGACGACCAAGAAACTCATAAAAGAATGGCATACCATGAAAATCCTTTGAAGTTGAGATATTGTGCCACAGATCTTAACATTTGGGGGATCTTTCCCATTCTTTGAGAGCTTGCAATGTGGGCAGTTCATGAAAATTGGTAGGTCCCGATTCAACATGAACAAACCACATCCATTGTCCTCAATCCCATTTGCTATCATCCTTCTTATGCAGTTTGACTTACTTGGAATGGTGGCATTTGCTGCATTAACACTATCACGAGCTTTACCATGACGACCACGTTTACCATATTTGAGAGGATCAGCCACATTGCATGCAGCATAAGACGATCCAAGCTCCTTAAGATGGTCAGGATTCAGTAGGAAACGGTGCCCATGAGGGCATTCATGCTAAAATCTATTGGACTCTCCCTCATTTGTGCACTAATTTTCCATTTGGATAAGAACCTTTGAGTAGGATAAAATCCACTCTGAAGCAAACCTTTTGAAGCTTCATAGTACTTTGCACCACCAACTCGAATCAAAGTCCATGATGATAACTGAATATGTCCTGTTATGCTTACTCCTGGTAACTGGACAACTGCAAGAAAATTGTCACAGCCAGCAAAACGATTGAAAGTAACATTCACCAATTCAAAATCAAAAGGGTCGGTTCGTAGTCGCCGTGAACGGCCGCAACCACAAGCATGTCGGAAAACATATCCACTTGAATGATCCTCCGAGCTGTCTCTGATGCAGACATGGTTTTCCAGTCAGACTAACAGCATCACATAGCTACCTCCCTGACATCCAAATGGATTTGCATTCTTCCTTCAACCTTTCTGCAAAATGTTGCACCGCAGGCCCCTTAACCATTGAATGTAAAGCAAGCACAGCCTTCTCCACGTGGGCTTCATGCTATGATTTGAAGTAGTATGCAGGTAAATCTCTTAGGTAAACCTCCTTAGCACCTGGTAATACTCTTTCACACCATGAAGTTGAAAACCTAGATAAGGCGATACCTAAAGCATTTCTCTCGATCGATACCGAAGGAACGTACCAAGGACGTGGTTTTCGTTTTCTGGTTTCCAGTTTATCTATGCAACCACATTTTGCAGAGAGAATCCCCTGGAGAATTCGTTTGCTTGAAGATAACCAAATCTCCATACTTGGAAGTTCATGAGTAGTAAAGGCTCCACCCCTTAGAATGTCAGCCCGCCGAGAAATAAACTCCTTTAGAGACACTAAATCCTCTTCGCTAGCACTTTCACCATGGCTTTCAAGCAGAAGAGAATCTGAAACATCTTCCATAAGGCTAATGGCAAACTCTAGAGATTCAGCTGTTCTATTTGCAGACCTGTCCACAAGAACAACAGCTTTTAATGCATCAAGTGGAAACAAAGATGCAGTTCTTGAGGCCCTTCCACCTCTAGAACCATTAAGCCTCCAAAAATTCTTGATTAGAAAGCGAATTTGTGCTTCAAGAGATGACTGCAATTTCTTGCTGAAATTAGTGATGAGGCCATCTGAGAAGTCATCAATGAAAATAAAGAGTATCACTGGTGTACACCGTCCAGGAAACAATGAGGAATATGGAGCAGATGAAGAACGCAGCCTAGACGGCAATGGAGGTTTAGGTCGAGATTTTACCAATGCATACTTAGCAGACCGTAATGTTCTTAATTTTTTCAAAACATTAGTATCAAACCACGACCTCTCCTGAATATATATGATTATATGACAAACCTGCATTAGTAATCAATCGATTTCGGTTAACAATCACGACTCTCCACAATGATACAATATTGTCCACTTTGAGCATAAGCTCTCGTGGCTTTTCTTTGGACTTCCCCAAAAGGCCTCTGTATTCCTTACTTATAAACCCATGATCATTCCCTCCCCTCAACAAAGTACACTATAGAGCACCTTCTCTGACGTCTATGGAGCTCTCAAACAGCCTTCCCTTAATTGAGGCTCGACTCCTTCTCTAAAGTACTTGTACTTTGTTCGACACTTGAGTCACTTTTGAATACACCTTCGAAGCTCACAACTTCTTTGTTCGACATTTGAGGATTCTATTGACATGAACAAGTTAAGGGCATGACTTTTGATACCATGTTAAGAATCACGACACTCCACAATGGTACGATATTGTTCATTTTGAACATAAACTCTCATGATTTTACTTTGGACTTCCTCAAAATGACTCATACCAATGAAAATGACTCATACCAATGGAGATGTATTCCATACTCATTATTCCCTAAATTAGCCCAGATGGAACTCCATTCCAACAATCCACTACCATTTCAACTAATGTTGAGAGATCATATCACGAGAACAACCAATTTTTCACAACAGATTATACAGGTTGAGTTAATTGATGAACGCATGCGTCGAAAGATGAACAGATACAAAAGAAATGAAAAGAAATGAGAAATCGACGAGCACTTACAGAGAACATAAAAAGCATTCCCTGAAGATCACCAAACTCATGTTCTTGAATCTCCGAATCATAATTGGTTTTCGCCTCGAACACGGAGCCTCTGTGGGAAGAAAACTGCAAAAACAGAATGCCTCTATCCTCCTCTATCCTCCTCGGATATTTTCCCGCCTCCTGGCTGCAACAAAAAAGAACTTCCCCAGGGACCAAATAGTAATTTCAAGGATCAAAATAGACATTTGAGACTACAACGAAGAATTTAAACCTTTTAGATACTCAATCATAGGAACTTCATAGTTAAACATGTTTTGTATGGAATAATTTTATATTGGTTTAACTTAGAATTTTTTTGAGATGCACGTGTGGGATAAAACATTTAGGGAAAGACTTGTGTTGGTCAGTAAGGATAGCCTTTGCTCGGAATAGGTTATGAACCATGACAGAGTCAAGTTGCCCTCCAATTCTATTTTGGGTAACCTCCTAGGAATTTTCTTGAGATGCATGTGAGTGAAGACAAACTATTAGCGGAACGACTTGTGTTGGTTTGTGGGAATATCCTTCCCTTTTAAGAATCGAGAAGTAAGTTACAAACTATGTCGCAGTGAAATAGCTGGGGCATGAGGTGTCATAGCCTTCACTTTTAAGAAGCAAGGAATAAGTAACAGACCACGTCGTAAGAAAATGACAGGGTCATTGGGTGTCGAATCCAAGACATGATTGATAACGACGCTTGCATCACTATGCAGGGCAGCTGAGTGAACAAGTATGCTTTAATTCAAGTACTCAGCTATGCTTTATTTCAATCAACATACCTGTAGGTAGACGCGTGATCTAAAAGTATATGCGCTGGCTATTGTTCTAATAAGCTGGCATGACATTTTTCTTTTGAATAGAAGCTAGCAACGTGGAAGGGGGTAAATCACTGCATAATGCATCAGCCTAGTTAATGGATAACAAACTTTTGATCTATTGCCTAGCTCGAGTGCCTCGGTAATACACGCAAGAGTAAAATCGAGAAACTTAAGATTCCATATCGGTTGGAGAGAGGAACGAAACATTTCTTATAAAGACATATTTTAAAACTGTGAGACTGCCAACGATACTGTGAGATCTTACATCGGTTGGAGAGGGGAACGAAACATTTCTTATAAGGGTGTGGAAACCTCTCCCTGGTAGACGTGTTTAAAAACCGTGAGGCTAACGCCGATACGTAACGAGTTAAAGTGGATAATATAGCGATGGGTTTGAGGTATTACAGATGATATCAGAGTTATACACTGAACGGTGTGCTAGCGAGGATGTTGGACCTCTAAGAACAGTGGATTGTGAGATCCCACATCGAGTCAAACACCAAACAGTGTGCTATCGAGGACACTGGGCCTCAAAGAGGAATAAATTATGAGATCTCACATCAATCGCAGATGGAAACGAAACATTTCTATCTACTAGCACGACTTTGAGCTGTTACAGATAGTATCAGGGTGTCGGTCCTACCGTCTGATCTAAGATTTGTCGACTTTGGAGACTTGTTCGAGATATGATATTGACAATCTTCCGTTCACCTTGGTTCATGGATCCACTTGCATTTCAATTTCATGTGGTTTCCAAGTACTTGGCTCCAACTTCATCCAACATGTGATGGTAGCAATCCACTATTGTGGATGAGACACGTGGAAGACATTTTTGATTGCCATGTCATTCTTGTTGGAAAAGCCAAACAAAACCATAACCTAAGCTACCAAACAACCTAAATTCCCACTTACATTACAAGAAAAACAAAATCATAATAATTTAAGCAACCTCATCCTAATTAGGCAACCACTCATGTCCCTTCATCATCAACATATCAAACCACCATCAAACCAAATGCCTGACATGTCCGACATAATCTTTTTTTTAACTTTATTGATCAAATATCTCAAGATAAGAACACTTGTTTGAGATTCGAATCACTCCACAAGCAAAATCGATCACGTCAAATTTGAATGATCCTAAACATACACATAAACTTAGTCATTGACTAAAAGAAAACACTAAATGTTCTTTTTACTACATTTTTCAAGTCTGGCATGAACAGTAACATTTTGTGATAATTTGAGTAACAATTTCTTCGCATCTTTCTTGAAGTCTATATTACATGATTGATGTTTTGGTTCATTTGATTGTGTACGTATTTGGTGTCGTGTAGAAAACAACCATCACTTTCAATGAACACCAAATTGAGTGTTTTAGTGAAATGGTTAGTTCATCATAACATGTGGTTGAAGTTGCAGTTCAGGAGGAGACGTGGTGTTTGATTCACGAACTGAATGACAACCAAAGACCTAAGTTTAGGCTTCCGTTTGGCTTTTAGTCATTTTCTTGCACGAAATATGATCAAACTTGATTTATAATAATAAAAATAACAACAAAAACTATTATTAATTTATATAAATAAGTATATAATATAAAGTCGAGCTCAAATATTAAAATATAAAGAATTAAAATATTGACATAGGGAGTGATTCAATATCAATATAGTTCTTGAGATTTGTTGCAACTGCCCCAATCTACTTCTATGACTACCCACATCACTACGAGGAGCGTTAATGGCATAAACGGCCAAATTTGAGCATAGTTCAGCAGACAAGACACTAATTAACCATTCCAAAAGTCGATAGTTCAGTCTTCGTCCTACAATCGTCTGTTCGTCTCCTGCTCTCTATTGTGGCTATCGAAATTGTTCTAGAACTGAATCGGCAAGACTCTAAATGGCGGCGTAACCTAAAAGAGGGTTAGTTTGGGTTGAGTGAAAAATGAAAGTGTTGAAAATGAGCAGTTGAGATGTAGTTAGAAGGAGAGAAAGTGGGTTGCACAAGACTCTCCTTTGGATATCTTATAAGATAAGATAATGCATTTTTATTTATATATACTCACACTTAGTGAAAAGATTACATTATTGGATTGGTTAAGTGAATATATGGGTTCATGATTACAAAATTGGGTGTGACTTTGCTACAAAATTTGGTCCTTTTTTTTTTAGAGGTAAGCAAAGTCTCCATCCATGCTTCAAAAATAAGGTAGAACTTAGACACCTACCTTCCACCTTTTCTGTATCATCTCACATCGATTAGAGAGGAAAACGAAACCTCTCTTCAATAGACACGTTTTAAAATCGTGAGATTGATGACGATACGTAACGGGTCAAAGCGGACAATTTTTAATAGTGGTGGGTTTGGACTATTATAAATGGTATCATAGCCAAACACCAAGCGGTGGGTCTCTTTCACGAGAACCCATGTCGATTGGAAAGAGAAACCCAACATTTCTTATAAGGGTGTGGAAACCTCTCCTTAGTAGACGCGTTCTAAAACCGTGAGATTGAAGGCGATACGTAACAAGTCAAAGTGGACAATATCTGCTGGAAGTGGGTTTGAGCTGTTACATCTTAGTTTCATATTTCAGGATTAAATTGATGTAATTACGCACTTTTTTAGATGTGGCTAAGTGGGTACGAAGATCATCTCAAGAAAATGAGTACATGCAAATTATCACTTCCGTATATTATACACATAGCAATATCTTTTTTCGTTCAATTTTATTGCCATTACATATCATTTAAAATGGCATTTCATTCATAAATTTAAAAAATCTAAATTTGTAAAATGCCCCGAATTAGAAAGTTTGGCCTTGGATAGCATTTATTTAAATTCCGGAGTGAACTTTATACTTAACTTTACTTAATACAATTAACTATATACCTAATCATAATTCAATTAATTAAAACACATATATTTTTTTTACGGGATACTAAATTTTTAATCTTCCATTTCACTGTAAATTTTTTTATTAGTCATTCTCAACCGAAAGTAAAAAAAAAATTAATCTAATAACGTCAGTTCGAACATTATTTAATAGATATTTAAAAGTTTCGATAATTAAAAAAATTAAGAGATTTAATGATTTTATTGATTAAGAGAGAGAGAGTAGTGGGTGAGTAGTTGCAAGGATGGGTTTAGTGACAAAAGTATGGCCTCCCTAAACATTGACGTGAGAACAGTTGTAACCGATCAATGAACCACTTGACATTTCCCTCCAACAATAACTGAATAATATATACATATATATATATATATATATATATATATATATATTTATTTATTTATTTATTTATTTCGGAAGAAAATGACTTATTCCCCATCTGAAGTCGCGGTCCTCTAATAATGGTTATTTATTTGATGCTTAATTAAACCTTCACTTCTTGTTCTCTATTTTATTTAAACATAAAGTTTTAATATAAACTTCTTACTTTGGTTAAATCTCTTATAATCATATAATTTTTCGCCATAACGTGACATATATCGAATACAAAGGTACAAATGCGAAGAATAAGACATGGCTGATGACGAATTAAAATCAAACCAATATTTGATATCATACCCCTTTAATTATAATTTCAATTCATTTAATTAATTAATCAATTAATTTTAATTTGTCAGCAAAAACAATTATTGGTTTGATTGCAATTATGTATTTTATTAAGATATTAGTAATTGAAAAAAAAAATCAAATAATATTTATATATATATTGAAAATTATTAGTGAGACTTTAAATGGTGGGGTTTTTTTCTTTAAAAGAGTAGAGTGAAATAGGCATGATTTAAATATTGTCGTTTTCTTTTATTAAAAATTAAAAATTAAAAATTAAAATAATAAAAAAAAAATGATGAGGTGGCGCATAGAAAGGGCGTGAGAAGGCAGAAATTAAGAACACAGACCCCTTGGAAGCAAGCCAACTAGCTTTTCTTGTTTCTTCCTAAATTAAGGTTGCCACTTCAAGCAAGAAATAATAATAATTTTAATTAGTTAATTAATTACAAAATAAAATTTAAATTTAAATTTAAAAAATAATAAAAAAGCCACTCTTACACTTCTCTTGTCTCACGAGTGGGCGGCTTTCAACCCTTCGTTACTAATATATATATATCTTACTTCATTTCTTACTCTCTCACTCCTCACTTCTCTCTCTCTCTTACTTTTCTCACTCAAAACTTGCAAAAGTTTTGATTTTGATTGATTTCATGGAAACCCCAAATGAGTTTATGGGATCTAATGATCAGATTCATGTGGTTGCTGTTAAAGGTCGTCGGAACAAGCGTATGCGTCTTATTTGTGGTGGTTTTGAGGTGACTTCCTCCTCCTCTTGCGGCGGTGGAGGCGGCGGAGAGGAATTCCCCGCCGCTTCTTCCTATGTCTCCGGTGAAATTAGTACTGAGGAGGAAGAGGATATGGCGAATTGTTTGATTCTTTTGGCTCAAGGAGACGGCCATCGCCGGCAGAGGCAAGCGCTTCACGACCGTACAACAACAGGGTTTTATGTTTATGAGTGCAAGATATGTAATCGGCGTTTCAATTCGTTTCAAGCCCTCGGCGGCCACCGTGCTAGCCATAAGAAGCCTAAGCCGCCGGCGCCGATCGTTGCCACTGCCACCGCCATGGCGGTGGAGGAACGAGTAGAGGCAGAATTCAACAAGATGGTTCCCGTCGCCGCCGCCGCCGCCGCCGTAACGAACTTTCAAATCCAAAAGGGAGGAAAAGTTCATGAGTGTTCTATTTGTGGATTGGAATTTAGTTCAGGGCAAGCGTTGGGAGGGCACATGAGAAGGCACAGAGCCACGGCGGCGGTGACGACGGCACAACAAGAAAACCACCATAATTCTTCAGGGGAGATTAAGCGAAGGAACATTCTAGAATTGGATCTGAATTTACCGGCGCCGGAGGAGGATCTCCGGGAGACAAAGTTTCAATTTACGGCAACCCCACAAACAATTGTATTCGCAGCACCAACTTTGGTGGATTGCCATTATTGAAGAAATTACAATATTGGATTATTAATGCTTTGTTTTAATTACTTAATAGTGATTAAATATTCTTTGAAGCTATAATGAAATTGTTGGTTTTTTGGTGTTCATATTTGGTTACCATTTCGTCATTCATGGAAAGTGGGTGATTTTTGGGTTACCCTTTTCTCTTCAATTTATTAAAAAAGATTGAATTTTTATGGGAAATTAAAGTAAATTAGAAAAACCCATTAATAAAAAAAAAAAAAAAAAAAAAAAAAAAAAAAGCAAGAAATTAGAAGTGTGATGGGTAGGGTTTGGCAGCTCCACCGCCACGTGTAAATCCTCCATTGGATAGGTTTTCTCTCTCTTCTTTTATTTATTTATTTATTTTTAATATTTTTTTGGTGTGTCGTATTAAATGAGAAGAAATACATGGATGGCAGGCTGAGTTGGTAACTAAGCTATGCCAAGTGGATCCACCTGTCACTTTCTCTCTCTAGGTTGGGAATTTTTTAAAAGGAAAAAAAAGAGAAAAGAATAGTACAGCTCAGCTTTAGTTCTTAGCCTAACAGTTCACCTAAGTGTAAGTGACCAACTGTATTATCCCTTATTTTAGAAGCTACTTTTTAACTAACATTGGGATGGGGTGGGTCCCACTGCTCTCCCTTTCTGTTTCTTTTGTGGGGCCCACTCCCTTCGTTATTCCCTATAAAGATACTCTCCAACTGTTACCACCAGCATTTGGGCTTTCCTTGGATAAGTGGGCCTTCTCTCAGGTCCATTCCTTTTGGGCCCACCTTCTATTTTTCCTTTTTCCTTTTTTTTGCCCTTCTGGTTGGATTGTGTGTCGCCACGTGTCTACTTCTTCATCAACATTGGGGCACTATTCCTCCTAAACTTTTAATATATACAATAGACACGTACGTGAGATCTCACGTAGATTGGAGAGAGGAATACAAGTGCCAGCGAGGACGTTGAGCCCTGAAAGAGGGTGAATTGTGAGAACCCACATCGATCAAAGAGGGAAACGAGTGCCAGTGAAGACGCTAGGCTCAAAAGGGGGTAGATTGTGAGATCTCACATCGGTTGGAGAAATAAACAAAACATTCTTTATAAGGGTGTGAAAACATTTCTCTAGTAGACGCGTTTTTAGAACTTTGAGAGAAAGCTAAAAAAAGACAATATCGGCTAGTCGTGGGCTTTGATGTTACAGGGTGTTATTTACTATCATCTTTTTATTCATCTCATGAAGGAACAAATTACTGGCATACCTCAAAAAACGGAAGATGAGATTCATAATGATAGTTTTAATATATATCTTCACACACGTACTGTTCTATTGCATTTAACAACGCTTTATTCATATGACTATAAGTCAATACTCAATTATTTAGGAACGAACGTGGCATGATCGGAGAAAAAGAATAAAGTTTAAGATTTATTAAATATGAATGAATTGCTTGGGTTGATGATTATTGGCACATGTTGCATCAAGCTTAGTGTAGTATAGATTTTACAGCACATAAAGGAAAGAGCCACTAATTAAGACATCATATGATTTGACATAATTTATGTAGGTGAAAAACATTAGGTTATTTTAAAGTAGGCATACAGGGGCAACATTAAATGAGGAGATGACACGTGGACGCTTTAGAGGTGGGAAATGGGAAGGGTATAATGGGGATTGGGGTGTAAAATAAAGAGACAGGACAGATAAGTGGGTAAAAGCAAATGGGTACAATCCGACCGACAACTGCTGTGTTTTGCCGGCTAAGTCTATACTTTGGTTTCAATTTGGGCATGTTCTGGCAAAACCCAACACAATAAGCCCTACCCTTTTTCTTTATTATTATTTATTTATTTATTTTGCTAATTTCCAAAAGTGCATATTTGTTAATTCTATTTTTTAATTTTAGTTTTTTGGTCTCTCTCTCTCTCTCTCTCTCTCTCTGTATATATATATATACATATATATTTTGTAGCTATAAATTTATATTATTACAATATATTTTTAAAATTAAAATAGTGAATTTTAAAAAGTTGAAGGACTACAGTGAAAAAAGTTTAGAATATAAAATATAAATACTACAAGTACGAACATATCATTTAACATTTTTAAGTAGTTAAATAAATAAATACTTTATAATTTACAACATCAGAGTTGCTGTGGTGTAGTGGTTATCACGTTAGTCTTACACACTAAAGGTCCCCAGTTCGATCCTGGGTAGCAACATATTTTTTATAGCATTTTTTATTACTTACTTTTTTTCCTAAAAATAGTAACCGACATTTTTCCTTCATTTACTTTCCAGGAGTGAAGAAGCTTAAAATAGCATCTTAACATGATTTCCAATAGGGCGTGGATATTTGAATCTTGAAGAGTTAATTTATTATTCACTTAATAAACATTTTAAAAGAATAGTTTGTTTATGTACACATTCGAAGTTGATATAAAGTAATTAAGCAAATAAATAATTTATTGTGTTAATATATGTTACCATAAAAATGATTTAAACAAATATAAACCCATGCTTTCGGGTTTTCGCATTGACTTTTCCCATACAAACCAACCTTCAACAAAACATGGATATTGTCACAGGGGCGTATTGTGCAAACACACGACCATCGTACTTGTATCGCAATGGAGACAGATTTCCGAACCGATACCTTACGTAATGTTTGTTACAAAATTATTGTGGAAGTTGTAACTATAAAACTCAAACATGTATTCAAATCTCTCCCTATCCTTTTCTCATTTATGTAATGTTTATCATTCGGCAACGAAAGAAAGACCGTTTGAAGTAGTATATGGGCGTCCGACATTATGCATTCCCAACTATGAGTGCCACCACATAACATCACAACATAGTAGGCATCCAAAAGAAACCTGTAAATTTGTAAAATATTCATCGATAATGATATTTATACCGACAAATTCGTAAATTTGAAATTCTGTTATCTATATGGACCTCAATATTTTATTCCTTCATTTCTATGTCAAGTGAAATGCTGGTTTCTCCATAAGAGGGAAAAAAAAGAAAGAAAAAAAAAAAGAATTAACGTGGTCTTCTTCTACTTTAAAATGAACTAACACATTCAACTTACAGGGCACATTAGCAACATTCAAGATAAATCACTTCTTGGTGTAAGTTTGATGGTCGGGTCCGACATCCCGGGAACCAGTGTTTATATAAGGACCTCGAAAAGTGGCCTGCGGGGGAAGTGGCTTTGCCGGATCTATAACTGGCTTTTTGGAAGACCTGGATGATCAATCCTATTCACATTAACTCGTGCAAATTCATTTGTTCAAATGCATAAAATTGTCGGTACCAGCCATGAGTTCATGTACTTACGCCATGTAAAAGGGAAAGGCTAATCCAGCAGATGCAAAGGCTATCAACCCAGTGGCAACGATAATATTCCGTCGTGTCATCGGGTTTTCTACAAGTGATCTGAATACAAACACCTATAAAATGAGTGAAAATTATACCAAAAAGAAATCCAATATGGTAAAATTTCAAGTAATTCTAATAGGAATATGTGTCTGCCGTTTGGAAGTAAGCAGGGCAGAAACTAGTTGGCAAATATGACAGATTGCTCCCTTTTTTTTAGTTTTAGTATAAATGACGGATCTTTTGGTTCTAAAAAGTGCAACAAGAAGGCTTCATGTGCACATCATCAGCCAAAAGGAAAGGGAGAGAACAAAACACAAGAACCAAAACAGCAAGGAAAAGAAGAGGAACCTTTTAGAGCCAGAACTGTGAGGCCGACAGCAATTGATATTCTGTAAACTTAAGCTACAAAGTGTCTTACAAGAAAGCACCAACCACCTTGAATTGACGAATGGAAGGAAATGCTGAACAGAAATCAAATCAAATCAAATCAAGGCTCAACAGAATGCTAGATACACCATACTTGACACATTATATATTGACAACAAGAGTACCTCTACCTCTACCGACACCGTAATAGCCAAAACCTACCACTAGCAGATATTGTCCTTTTTTGGCCTTCGCTTTCAGGTTTCCTCTCAAGGTTTTTAAAACGCATCAGCTAGGAGAGGTTTCTACACCCTTATAAAGAATACTTCGTTCTCCTCCCCAACCGATGTGGGATCTCAGAGACACCAATTCTATATACAATGAACAATGCTCAATTGATAAGAACATCTTCCAAACTTTTTGCCGACAATATATTTGATGGAAACAAATATATCAGATACTCTGACTTTGAGAACATTATGATAACAGCTATATTGAACAACAAAACAAGGACAATATCACAATGACCAGATTCCATAGTTATCTACATAACACGAAATGTGAAATGAAAACTACAAAAATCCACAAGTACGAGCAAATCATAACACTTTTGCAGCTAATCTCTTAAACTGAGAAACTTCAGCTTCCATCTCCATGTACATATACACAGATACAGACACAAAAGAACAAATGTTTAAGAACCACGCAGCACTTTATTCCCTTAATTAGCACGAAATGCAAACGCAAATTACTAATATTTTCCCACTCCGTCCACAATTGACAATGAAATTCATAAACTTAGAAGGTGCAAAGTCTACGCATGGGACCAAAAAACCATTAGAATCAGTAAAAAAAATGTTCATAGAAACTAATTGAAAGAAAAACACCATCTTAAGAAGCGCGAAACATGAGAAATATAAGATAGTTGAACAAATCTGCAGAAATGCATTCTAAAACGGATTTGGATTACGAAAAGAAAGGAAATGACTCTCCATCGGCGTCGGCAAGATTCTTGAGCAAAACAGTACAGTAAAGAACAAAACCCTAGCTGAAAAAGAGAAGAAGCTGAGCGTACCGATGGATTTGGAATTGAGAGTGATGACGATTGAGCCGAAGAGGAGCTTCTTCAAGGAGGCAAACGAGGGACCTGATGAGGAATTTGTTGATCTGCGGGTTCAGCCTTGAACCATCTCAGGGCGTGGAAATGAAATCCCCAAATTACTTCAATTCTCAAAATAAAAATGTCAATTTTTTTTCACTACGAAAAATAGTTAATAATTTAAGACTTTATTTCATAATTATTTTATTTTATTCTAAAACTCTAGACTCACTCAAGTGAAAAAAAAAATTAAAATTTTAATTTATAAACTTATCCAATATGTGTAAGAGATTTATTAGCAAAATAGATAATACATAGACTCCATGCTAGACTCATAGGTCTTCCTATGTATGTATTCTATTTTTTACCTAAATTTTTTAAAAATATATATTTTTGTGTTCATGTCATGTGTTTCTTATCATACTTTTTATACTTTGTAGGATAGCACAATTTATATTATAATAGTAAAAGTATTTTTTTAATTAAAATTTCACGATTTTGACCCAAAATTTAAAGAAAGGAAAATCGAGTCACGGTTGATATTTTTCCACATTGTTGTGGGTAATGTCAATATTGCGAGTATTTCAACTCAAATTTCGAGGAAAAAGAGCCAAAAGCACGACCCTAATTTAGAAACTTTAGTTCGGCCATTTGAAACACGGGCATGAAAAAACTGAATCACAATTGATATTTATCGACATTGTTGAGGGAAATGTTCAAATTCCATGAATTCAACCAAAATTTCGAAGAAATAAAACCTATAAAAGTGTACGTACGTTTCTAAAACCGAAACCCTAATTTAAAAATACTAATTGGAAGGAAGTATTTTTTATAGTTGAACCAAAATGAAATAAAAACTTAATTCTCCAGCTTCAAAAAAAATGAACCATTATCTTATCTTCTTAAGAATAAATTAAAATGGCATCAATTATAATTTAAAAAATTATTGTTCAACAGTTTATGGATGGGAATGGGGCGGGAAAGTTTCTTTCCCTTCTCCAATTAAAAATGACCCCCCCCGCCCTAATCAAATTTGAGGCCAAAGCCTTTACCTCTCCAACGCTCTCACCAGAACTGCCCAAACAAACAAAACGAAGGCCCACTAAAACTCCAATCTCATCCCCAATTCCCACAGGCCATCCCCTCATGTCAACGCCTCACCGTTTCCCACCGTCCAACGCCTCTCCCGAAACCCTAACCCATTTCTCCGAGGAAGATGAACTCAATCTCCTGAATTGCTACCTCCAAATCGCCAGATCCGCGAACCCCACCAGCAATTCGCAGCCCACTCTCGACTCTCCGGCCTTGGACCGCATCGAGACCGCTCTCCGCCCAAAATTCACCTACTCCCACATCGCCGATAAGCTCCACAGGCTCAAACTCCAGTACCACAAACTCGCAAGGACCAAGTCCTTAATCAAAACTCCCCACCACCGTCGAATTCTCGAGATCGGCCGAAGCATCTGGGGAAAACCCCCCACACCCAGAACAAAACCACAGGCGATTTTAAGGGCAATTCCACGGAGAATCAAACAAAGGTCAGGCTCAAGCAAAAAGGGGGTTGATCTGAATGACTTTCCCGTTCTTTTGAGTGAATTTTCTCGGCGGTTTCCGGGAAATGGGGTGTGGAAAGAAGGGCTGAGGGGAATGGAGGAGAAGAGTTTGAGGGATATGAATGAGAAATGGGTTTTGTTGCATATTGAAGAGGCAGAGCTTAAGGCAAGAAGGGCTGCGTTATTACAGAAGCAACTTAGACTTACAGACTTCTGAAGATGTTTACATTACTAACCGAAGTATTCTCTTACAGTTTCGTTTCCAATTTGAAACAGCGTCATGTGCCATAGTCTTCTTGTCGGTGTTTTTCCCTGTATGATGTATTTCGATTATGCACCCAATGGTAGGCTTAGAAGTATGGGTTTGTATTGTATTGTATAATTGTATTTCGATTATGACCAATGAATGGCTCTAACATTTTTCAATGCATTGAATATCCTCTTTGAGATGAAGACGAGGAAAAGAACCAACGAAGATGCAGCAAGTAAATTGAGAAAGCATACTAAATCAAGAATTGGAAGAGATCTCTAACCTTTTCAACATTCAGCCTGTTGAGATTCATTTAAATCGGAATTTACACCTTTTCACCTTCAAATGATAGCTGCAAAAGAAATCATGGGGTCTGATCCTCCACAAGTTCTGATATGCAAGCAGTTCGCTGAAGTGGTACAAATTCTCAAGCCTGGATTTTGCAAAAACGAAGAAATAATGTAACCTCATAAAACAACCCATCTTTCGTTCTAAAAACCATTAAATTGTAGAAGTTACTCAAAAGATGAAACGTATAAATAATTCACCTCTACACAGAAAGTTAAGGATCAAGATTCATCATACCCCACTTTGGTTCTAAATCCATAAAATTGCAGAGTGCAGCAAAGATACAGAAGCGTGTATATACAGAGTTCAAGGTAAACATAGAAACTCCAGCAGTTTTTTTGAGCAGGAGGATTGACCACAGAAACCAGGAAATTGTGAACGGTTTTTCATTTTAGAACCCTCTATATGACTGAATATTGACTCTGCTTTCTTTCTCATTTCACATTATCAATGAAATGAAACAGTCATTTGGCAGCAAGCACGTTTTGTTGAGCGAGGTTCTCCTGCTGCTGTTGGTAGTTCAGGGGCCTCCTGAATAGCATGATATGTGGCTCGGGACGATGAATAGCATAGTGCACCCATCCACGACTCTGCTGAACTCCAAGTGCACGCCACTCATTCTGCACAAAGGATTAAAGGGCTAAGAGTATAACAATACGCTTGCATTAAATGAGTACTCAAACAGATTTGGGAAGCACAACTTTGCTTAGTTTAGTGATTACAAGTTCAAGAATATTAAAAGACATTGATGGTATAATGATATTCCTGTGTTGCTTAGTTTAGTGATTACAAGTTCAAGAATATTAAAAGACATTGATGGTATAATGATATTCCTGTGCCTGTGCCTGTCCCCAACCATGACGCCTATTGCTCACTAATTGCATAGAGGGAATGCACAATTGGCAAGCTAGGAGGGGTCTAGTCTAATGCGAAACATTCATGAACCCCTGATTCTCAATGCGAAACATTCATAAACACCGTTTCAACTTTCATACAACCATCAGCCAAATCAAAGAGAGAATATCAAGATCATATGAAAACTAAGACTAGAAAGAAGAGGAAAAACCATCCACAGCATAATAACAATTTCTTACAGAGTCTCAATGTAATACATTTATTTTTCATTGTCGACATACAAAATAGAGAGTAGCGATACCTAAATCTGTTTTAAGAATCCAACTATTGAAATTAATTTTCTTCCGAAACAATCCGAGGATAGGAGGCGATTCTTAAAATGCATAAATTCAAAATTACTTAGACCAAATTGCTTACTTCAGAGAGCAGGCGATTCTTAGGCAGCAACTTTGCCACGTCGGGTGGGAGCACCACATGCCTGCATCAATTTTTCAATCACCAGTTAGCCATTGAAGACAAAGAATTAAACACTTCCAACAATCATTCAAGACAGCAAGAAACTAAAGAGTTGGAAACTGAGAGCGAGTAAGAACACGATAATACCTATACTCGTGAATGTCGTCGAAGTACTTCTCAGAGTACTGAATCTGACCCATCCGTCAGTGCTTGATCTTCACCTTCCAGAGACAATTACAATACGATGAAGATGAAGCTAATTCATTCAATGGTTCCGATCGCCCAACTGAAACGACGTCTGAACAGCAAACTCAAACTGAGCTAGGGCTCTCCTCCTCAACCCCCCGAAAATGGCGCATTATTTATATATACACGATTTGAAGTAATGAAGTGCAAAGTCGCCCAATCATTTATAGCCACGTGTAACTCGTTAAGGAGGGCTAATTCTACCACGTGTTACAATTATTATTTTTATATATATAAAAAAGAAGTTTCTTATATCTCATCCATTACGTTGTTTCTTCTGTCAAATTGAGTCATGGATAATTCATGAATTTAATTGTATTTACAGCTTTTTGTCCACACATATTTAATAGTGGTTCTATGTATTGATCAAATTTAATCGTATTAACGGATAAATTACCATACTTATTTAAGTCGCAAACTTTAAAGTTGACTAACAACAAGCTTCATGTGCCCATATGAATAGTATAAGCTTGTCTCATGCCACCCTCCCCTCACAATAAAGCAAGGGACGGGACATGGAAGACTCAGTTCATGCATCACACCCTCTCGCTCTCAATAAAGCAAAGGATGGGACATGAAAGACTCAGTTCATGCATCACACCCTCCCCCTTCACAATAAAGCAAAGGACGGGACATGGAAGACTCAGTTCATGCATCACACCCTCCCCTCACAATAAAGCAAAGGACGGGACATGGAAGACTCAGTTCATGCATCACACCCTCCCCCTTCACAACAAAGCAAAGGACGGGACATGGAAGACTCAGTTCATGCATCACACCCTCCCCTCACAATAAAGCAAAGGACGGGACATGGAAGACTCAGTTCATGCATCACACCCTCCCCCTTCACAATAAAGCAAAGGACGGGACATGGAAGACTAGTTCATGCACCACACCCTCCCCCTCACAATAAAGCAAAGGACGGGACATGGAAGACTCTTTTCATGTATCACACCCTCCCCCTCACAATAAAGCAAGGGACGGGACATGAAAGACTCAGTTCTACATCACGCATCACAGTTTCGTAGTGATATTCTCAAGAAACAAAACACCAACCAGGAATGGATTCTACATCTAATTTGTTCATGATTGATATAGAACTCCATTATTGGCTTGCTGTGCTCAATTTGCCTGTCTAAAACACACACCTCCATAAGTCATCGCAGCAAACTACACTATGGAATTAAAGGCCCATACAAAATTTTGGAAAGCTTCCCTTCCCTTCCAAACCAACTAACCAATCATTCTTCTGTACACTACACCCGCCCAAAAAGGGAACTTTTTTTTCATAACCCTATCATCATATTCATAAGGGTTGTTGTTGTATGATCATTTTTCTGTACACCCACAAAACCAAAACCAAAACCCAAAAACAAAACAATTTCATCAGGAGGCCATGTGGGATTGCTTCATAGCTTTTCCACACCAAAAGAATTTCATCCCCTAGAAGTTTTACTATGTTTCTTCTTCGCCTCCCTGCGTTTGCGAAACACTATTATTAATTACCCGATATTGCGGTATCGCCTTCTGCAGTACCGACGTCCCTTGGAAGATCATCATCTGGTAATGTCTCTTGTACTCCATTACCTGTGATGGAAAAACATTTTAATCCATGTAATTTCTTTTCGTAACATGTGGATCTATATACTGTCAAGATTAATGCACCTCTTCAGGAGGCGACTTGCTGAATCCAAACTTGTTGATCCACAACGATTCTGCTTCGTCTGCGGCAGGCAGAACGAGATTCTTCACGTTCAAAAATCCCAAGAACCTCTCGATGCATGAATACAAGGATTGGAAGTAGCCCTGAAAATAGAGTTCATTTCTTAAGTGAAAGAGGTAAACCTTTTTCATGGTGGAAGAAAGATGATAGCTACCTGCCCTTGGAAGTTGGTATCTGTTGCTACTAATGGAAGCTCCGCTACTTCAATCCCAAATATACGAAATATTCCCGCTGACACGACAGATTCACTACATGAACGAACAAGATTAGCTTAAGAACATAAGATTCCAGCAATATAATGCAAACTTCATGAACTCTTACTTCACAGTTAGAACTGCACAGTATATCCCACCAAATTCTTGACCCCTGATGTTCCTCCTGCACGGCAAATAGAGTACCCAAGATTACTCTCAACAGCCCACTATATTTCATAACTTCATAGCAAGATGCAAGAACCAATCATTGAGGGAATGAAAGGAAAATATGAGTGTAATTCTTTACCCATAAAGCATGGACGGAATGAAATCCCTCCCAGAGGCAGGGTCAACTATGGGATCAAAACAATCCTGGATTTACAAAAGAAAAAATAACAGTTGGTAAGAAGTAAAATAAACGCCCTCGAAACAACCTATATTAATCGGTACAGCTGAAACATGGGATCCAGAGGACAATTGTCTAATGAAAGTCACTCACATGGAAAATAGAAACGGCCTTCGAAAGCAGTGATCTAGTTTCATCAGAAGGCGACATTTTCCAGTTGAGGACCCGCCATCGAATTTTAAGATTGTTTATGCTTGCCGAACCCTTGTCTTCAATCTTTTTCTGAACAGAGACCAAAATAGACTCGGGCAGCTTCTCTCCTCCTAAAGCCACCAACTTCTCCAGTGCAGAGTTTATCCTGTTGCACTCAGGACAACAGAACCACTTTCCTTGGGGAAGTTCCTGCAAGAACAGTCGTATCAGATCACAACATTTTAAATATCAGATCACAACATTTACCACTCAAAAGAAATCGAAATCTGCAGTGAAAGATGGTGTAAGGGGACACCTTGAGATTTTCCATGTTGTGTTCCTTTAAGCAGCCAACATGAAACTCCTTTTCACACTGGAGAAAATATTGGCATTTGGTACTTAACATTCGAGAATAGTGATAAAAGGAAGATTTTAACACCTTGCTGGACAAATAAACTTTCAAAGAATAATACCTGATCACAAAGAATAACAGTTCGAGGACCAAACCCGGACTTGCTAAAGTCGTGGCATCTACAACAGTCGAGACTACCACTTAGGAACACTTGGAGAAACATTAGAAAAGCAAAACCAAGCATGCAACAAATATTGAGGTGGAAATTTTTGAAAAATGAAGCTGCTTTCAAGGAAGAAACAAAAACCTGCATAGTGCACATCCACCAACTTCCACTTCCATAGTTTTGACAATTCGAATGCATCTCGTTGTTATCTGTTCAATAGGATCAACACCAGCAACCCTTCCAGCAGCAACAGCATTTGCATTGTGCTCCACAAATTTTTCCTTTTGGAACAAATTCTGGCAATATTTGCAGTACCAGGTACCAGTAGGGATACATGGTAAAGGAACACAATCTGCATTGACCAAGCAAAAAATGTCAAATTGTGCATATAATTACTGGATGAGGGGGAATAAATGTATTCTGCAGTACCAAGTGTAGTGATGCATAAATGCAGCGCAGTGTCCATTTTAGTTTTTTGATCATGATACTCATATTTATGCATTAATGAGTTACTAATCAACAAATCTACCAACGTAGGACTACAGAGAGAGAGGGAGAACTTTCATAATTAGGTGGACAAACTAGCACAAACATAGGACATTTTCAACAGGAAGCTTAATCACCTCTGTGAAAGGCCCTGGGGCAGCCATCACAACACAACAGATCCCCTCCGTCTGCACAAATGCTACACAAGTCATCGTTATCGTTGGAGGAGAACTTTCGTCCTTTCGATAGAGATATGGACAACTCGTGCAGAGACACCCCATTTGATGTGTAAATGTGCAAATAACTGCAAGGGAAGGTACACTAGGCCAAGTCAAAATAAAACTAATTATATCAACAAAGTTTCATTTCTTTCATAACTCCACAACAATCTGTCTAGTTTTCATTTACAATCTTATCTCTCATTGCCTTTTTCTTTCTTAGTTTTTTAGAAAAGTAGACATTTTGTAACTATTTCTACTTTCTCATTTCTAAGAAACGTTCCAGATATTATATACAACTCTTATAAACAAAAACTCTACTTTCTTATTCTCATTCCAACACATTTTCTCTTGATTTTCTATTAAGAAAAAACAAGAAACAAAAATTGAGAAACCAGAAACAAGAAAAGAGAATTTGATCACATAGGCCCTCAATTGAAAACTTGATCTTGAGTTCATTTCTTTAAGAAAATCATGTCAAGGATAGACAATATCAAAATGAACGAAGCAAGTACTCACGGCTTGCGCCTTGATGCCCAGCCAGCATGAGCTTCAAACTGCGAGGGACTAACCTAATCATTAAGCAAAAGTCAGATCAAAACTCCAGCAATCTTCAAGATCAAAAATGTTTCAGCAGAAGAATAATACCTCAGAGTTGCAGCAGCTACAAAAAATACCAAATCCCTTTTTATACCCAACCAACAATTTCTACAATAAGAAAAAGATGAATAAATAAATGTATTAACTATACATAACATGCAAATTAGAAGAACTAAATGATTATTTGTCTATGGTTAATAATAAATAAATAAAATAATGAAAAATAAAAAAATAAAAGACCTGCCCACGAGCATAGTATGCAACTTCAGTTCCATCGGGTAATATATCTTCCTCAAACACTAACTTATGCAGCCTTAGATCCCTGTTAGGAGGATGTTAGATAATGTCCATGAAATAAACTATAACTAGAAGGAAAAAAAAAAAGAAAGAGTAGATGTCAGAACATGTCCACACAAGCAAAGTGACACAAGAAATTTATGAAAGGAACAAATCACTAACTTTCTGGTTAATCTTCCATGACTTTTACCACGATTGGAACCACTCTTTGATGCAGTATCAGATAACTTGGGAAGTAAATTTGGTTTTGGAGTTCTGCAATAAACAGATATAAGAAATGGATTTCAGAATACATGAGAGCATGAAACATATCTTCAGAATGCGTGAGAGCATTCTTCCCATCAGTTTATATGCCAAGTTCTAAATTTTCATTGATAGAAATTTTCAAAAGCATTACAAACACCAAAAAGGTTGTAACCTTTGGGGCCTTATCTATATTGTTGTCATAAGCTACTAAATGGAGAAAGCATCTTGATCAGTAAGAACACCTTTCATTACTGAAGATTATGGGAATGGGGCTGTCATGAGGCTTCTTCAAATCCATACATGAACAGCAAAGTAACATCGCCTTCCCGGGGTCTGATTCAGGAATTCGACCTATGATACAATGAATTAAAGTATATAATCATTAGATTGTTGGGTCTAGCAACCAAGTAGAGGAACGGTATGACACACCGACCAGACATAAAAGCAACCTTTGCAACTCAGGCAGATAGCAGATCTTTTTACCAAGGAACAACCAATTGCACTTCTGATGAATTCTTCTGTCTGGTCGAAATAAAAATTTTGGCATGCGTTCATGATGTCTCTGAGGGTATTCCCATTCTCCAAGTAAATGTACTCTGGTGGACGTTTATTCGAGCTACCGGCATGTAGTTCAAATAAAGTAGGAGAAACAACCTGCATTATTCAGATATGGATTAACAAAATTCCTCGAGTAATTTCATGAATCTGACCATAAACAAAACTCACTTCATTTCCTTGGCAGTTGTTACAGAAACAAATTATCCCAGAGCCACTGATTACTCCTCCTAGCCCAGCGTCTCCTTGTGCTTTAATCTAAAATTAGTCAGAATAAGAAGATAAGACAAAAGCCATATAGATGTACAAAAATGAAAGCAGCTGCAATTTCAACCAATACCTTAGAACCTCTAATGTATCTCACTCGAAGTCCCTCCAAAATACCCGTTTCCAGAAGGTCCTTTAACTTGGCGGGAAATCTCTTCATCGACACATTCTTCGGCTTTGTCATTCCGATCTGCATCGGAGGTGTAGCTGAGGGGCTAGGGGCATCCTTTGGTTTGTTTTCAGCATCATTTGAGATAACTTGCATTGTCATACCCGTATTAGATTTTGCAAGATCACCTACAGACGTTGTCGTGGACTCCGAGTTCTGATTTAAGGCCGAACGGGTAAACCTCTTGTGAGGCTGCTGATCCATCTTCTTTCCCAACTGACCATTAACAACAATGATCGATTCCGACCGACTCACTGCTTCCTCTGAGAGAACATTTTTACCCTCCTTCCCTAAATCCCCACATGTTAAAGCCCCTTCAGATTCATTCCAAGATATATCCTTAGACTCATCCTCGCACGATGCCTCCATTTTTTCATCAACCAATGCCCTGTCCCTTGCCAAATTCACTGTCCCATGGCTGATTGGATCCTCACTATCCAACAGTTCCTCCTTCGATTCTTCTATACGAATACTATTCGATGTCTCATCCATAGTTCCAGTATCACCCGTAGATTCATCCACCTGACTCTTCGGTTCTTCATCGCTTACAAGGTCTACTATATCACTCTTGGCCTCTTCACTCATTGAATCCGCCATGTCCTCCATACTCTTCACTTCCTCGACCTTCCCCACCTCAGAACTCCTTAACTGGGCAGTCTCATCCTCCCCCTCGCCCCCACTTGTTTCCATCGTCACTGAGCCCTTTAACCTTTTGGGGGTAGGAGTCTCCAGAATCGCATTTGGCAACCTCCTGGAACGAGTCCGACCTAATGACCCACAAATCTCCGATTGAACTTTCAAAGCAAAGGCAAACTCACGCTTGAGACCAGTCCGGACTCGTGACAACACCACGAACTCATCCGGAGCCGTACCGTTCGCCATATACCATATAGATCAATTAACCCCTCGAATTATCCCGCTTTTCGAATTCGAAAACAAATTATCAAAGTAAAATAAGAACAAGATATTAACAGTGGCGCAATATGTGCCTGTAAATGATTAGATTTCGATGCGTTTTGAATTGAATAACCCCAAATGAAAACCGATTATGATTTCGTTCCTTTAATAACAAAACGTAGATATAAGAAGAAGGGAAAACACTCACACGCAAAGGAAAAAAGAAAATTAGGGTTTGTCGAACGTCGGGAATTGAGTTTTTAGGTTGGGGAAGAAGAAGAAGAGGAAGAAAAGAATGGAGGACAGGGGAGCCGGTTTCTTGGAAGAACGCAAAACGAAAAGGGCGAAGACGGAACCAACTTTTCATAATACCGAAAATACCCCTTCGAAGACGAATCCGGAAAAGATTAGGGCAAATCTGAAGAGGAGTAATACGACGTAGTATAGTAAATGTTGTTGGAGGGTAATTTGGTACGTGAAAATAAACAGAAACGCAATCGCTTCGACCACGCTGCTCCACGTCGTAAACATATATTTCGTTTTTATTTATTATATATATTTTTTTTGGTTCGAAAATAAGTTTTTTGAAAAACGAGAATTTTCGCGGCTTGGACCTCAGACGATCTTTACACACACACAGAATCGCGTGCCAGCCAATCACAGCTCGCCATTTATATTTTCCCTTTTTAATTTTCTTATATACGCCGTGGAATTCGCGGGAAATTTACCAGAACTGGGCCGGCTTCACAGTAGGCCCATATCATCCCTATAAACGTGAACCGTAGCGGTTCAATTCGGTTCCTAAACGCACTAAAACCGATCCGGTTTTCAATATTTTTCTCTCCTATTTGAATCTTGACTGACTAAATTATTTGATTCAATTGATTTATTAATATAATATTTTTTTTTTAATTCAACATACGAGGAAAGATAGTCAATGTCGTGCATGTTTCTTTTTATACATTTTTTATGTTTTATTTATTTTTTAATTTATTTCCATACAACGTATTAAAAAAACATGGTAATTTATACATTTTTAGATTATATTGTACAAACAGATAATAAATTAATTAGCCTGATTTGTTAAAATAAATTAAATCAAATCACATAATTAAGGTGTAGTTGAATTTAGACCATCGCAATATCAATCATTTATTACTCTTTAATTTCAATAATTAATGCCCCATCTATTTATATTTCTTCTATAGTATAATTTACTTATAACTTAGGTTGAAATTGAAATAAAAATCAATTAGGGTATGAATTGAGATAATTACGCCATTATGGCTGATTATAACGAGTGGTGGCGGCGCTGACGGCGCCGCCGTCACTTTGTCTCAGACGACACGAAAAATGGGTATATGCGTCAGACAGGGCAAAGCAACGGGCGACTTGTCGCACCGGTCATTTTTGTGTAGATGGGCTGAAAGAAAACGACACCGAATGTAACCGGCCCGTTATTGTAAAGTCGATAAAAATGGGCCGATAAAGGCCCACATGGAGTTATTCGACGATGGGCCGATGAAGGCCCACATTGAGTTATTTGACGATGGACGACAAGTAGACACTCTCCCATATGCGCATAAACGACATGTAGTTTCAAGTCAAATTACCGAATTAGATGGTCATAACTTCAGTTTACTAATATTATTTTATTAAATTTAATAACTATTTATCACATTTTTAGTTCAAGCCACCCGTTTGATTGATGATATATTTTTAAATTTATTATTGAGCTATGTTTAAATTGGTAAAAATGGATGTACGACCATTATTGCAAGTGAGTGGGTATAAATAAAAGAGTCCTAGAAAAAAAAAGTTGTGGGCTAAGTTAAAAGAGGCAGCTGAATAGAAGACTTGAGATGTTTGTTAGCCCTAAGTGTGGCCAGTCACGCACGTCTCGTCGCATGGGATCGGTCGGCCACTTCTTACAATCGAACCCAAGGAGTTTTGTCGTCAAACGCCTGGCCGTATTTATTAGAATTTATTATTATTTTACTAATCAAATTCCCATTTTCAATTATTATTATTTAATTTTCCTAATATTAAAAAACCATCAAATGTTAATATTGTGATTGAGAACTATTTTATTTAAATGTGTGGTATAAAATATTAAATATTTACACCAAAAATAATTTATGAAATTTATTTTTTTTTCTCGCTCAAAAGGTTTTTTTATTTTTATAAAATATTAAAAGAGAATAATTTCACGTCTGAAAAATTCAAAAAAATGGCAATGAAATTCAAGTACCATAAAAAGAATATCTTAATTAAAAATATTTTAAGGTTGATATACTATCTCTATAGTCATGTGAGGTGAGAGAATATTGTCTGATAATATATGTTTTGGCTGTTATATATCATTGTCAGCAATTTTTTACACGATGTATTTTTTAATTATTTAAAACAAGTGGAAAGATGTTAATGAAACAAAATATTAACCGTTTCCGTGGTAATGGTATTTTTGAGATTTTTTTTAAAAGTTCGTGGGTATTATTGAAAATTTTGAAAGTTCAAAGGTGTTAGACGAACACGACTCTCCACAATGGTATGATATTGTCCATTGTGAGCATAAGCTCTCATGGCTTTGTTTTGGGCTTCCCCAAAAGGCCTCATACCAATGGAGCGAGTATTTTTTATTTATAAACACATGATCATTCCCTAAATCAGCCGATGTTGGACTTTCATCATCCAACAAAAGGTATTTTTATTAATTTTGAAGGTAACCTTACAATATTCGTTAAAAAGTGATCGAGACGATTTAACCTACCAACACACCTCTAACGTAATATATGCCAAATTAAAACACGATGAAGATAACATCGATAACGATAGAATCCTGAAAAAAAATGAATAACAAGGTTGCTGAAAGAAAACGATTAGTTGCTTGTTGTTGTTCCTTTCACACTCCTTTCGTTCAACATCAAATTTTAGGTAAGAAATGAAAGTATATATTATACATTTGAATTGGAAGAAAAATAGGTGATAAGGGTGTATCTAGGTGGTGTGACAAATTATGATATCATTATTTAAATCATAATTAGGAGTTAATCCATGCATTTAAACTTGGGTTTAGTCTCTAATTTGGGAAACACGTGTCCACACTCTCCAATAATTCACTCAATTCCAAACCCTTTACCTTACCAATCATTTTCCATTTATCACTTTAATAATTCAAACACATTTTAATTATGCATTTTAATCCTTTTTGGATCATATATTCCTCTTACCTCTCACCAAATTATGACAACCCTTTTATTTTCTCTCATAATTCATATATATATATATATATATATATTATAACTGTTTTGGTCAATTACGTATTATCGATCGCACTTTTGATGGCAGCGGATTTGCGATTGTACGACACTCACTTTCCAGCAACAAGTGAGTTAAGCCAATTCGTTCTTACGTTGCCTACGGCCAAGGGATGTATGCTCGAGCCTTTGACCTCAGTTTAAGAAGGTTTTAGAAAATGAGGGTAGGGAGAGATTTTCGAAAGAGAGATTTTGAAAGAGGTGTTATATATGCAAGCAAGAGAGTAACAACAAGGACTGACAGTATATAACTATTGGTGGGAGAAGTTGACAACTCATTAGTCTCACAGTTTTAAAATGTGCATGCTAAAGAGAGGTTCCCACACCCTTACAAGGGTACACAAATAAGGAATGCTCCATTCCCCACGCATAAATATATATATATTATAATTGATCTAGTTAATATAGTACTTGCTATAACCGTCCAAACCCACTGCAAATATAGTACTCGCTAATCTCATAATTTTAAAATGCTATGTTAAAGAGAGGTTTTCACACCCTTATAAGGGCACACATATAAAGTATGTTTCATTCCCTTCTTCAACCGACGTGAGACCTCACATTTACTCTTGCTTTTCGTGAACGACCTACGCTTAAGCCTCCGCTCTACTTTTGAAAAATGGTTTTAGAAAACGGGGTTAGATAAAGATTTGAAAAATGTTAATCTAAGAAAACAATATTACAAGCTAGTAGGCAGTAAAGAAGAACGACGACATAGATAGCATGTAACTCAGATAGGAAGATTTGACAACTAGTCGTATACTCCTATGTTACATAAAGAATGAGTATACATCTACGTGGAACATGTTCTAAAAAAGTATGATCGTAACATAGAGTAAGGAAAAAAATTTAAGAACGGAATGAGATTCATGTACTAGGATTTGATAAAATTTGAACAGTTTAATTAGATAAAATATATGAACGATAAGACGTTGCTAGAATTGTCTAGAATTAATATAACTGAATGATTTTGATTAGAGTTGTCACGGACGTACCTACCTAGCAACGTTCTCTTTAACTTTTGACGAGTTAGCCTCCCGAAAGAGAAGCAGGGTGTCTTGGGTGTCTGATAAACAAGTAAGAAGCTGGACATGAAGAAAAATTGACGTTTTATGGGTCCTAATTGGACGGCATCTGCCCTTAAAAAAGGATACCCTACAAAGTTTGTCACAGAATTGAATAGTGTTTTTGTGCCTTTCTTTAAGCAAGTTGCAAAAATATGTTCCTATACCACGTAATTAGATAAAGATACCTACACCATTGTTCATATCCCTTTTCTTTCCGAGCTCTATAACGTGAGATTGAAGATTCAAACCTGTTATAGCATATGAGATTCCACAAGGGTGTAGACGTCTCTCCCTAGTAAACATGTTTTTAAACCCGTGAGATTGACAACGATACGTAAGGGGCCAAAACGGACAATATCAGAGCCAGACAGCAGGTGGTGTGCTAGAGTCACAGGGTTTGGTTGGAGAGGGAAACAAAACATTCGTTATAAAAGTATGGAAATCTTCCCCTACTAAACACGTTTTATATTACTGATACGTAATGGGCTAAAGCAGACTATGTCTACTAACGGTGAGCTTGAACTGTTACGATCTGAACGATCTTGTTCAATTATTCAACCACGTGAGCTATGGTCGGAAATTTATTCGGGTTATCTTTAGGAAAAAGACGAGGGGTGTAGTTTGTAGACCCATAAAAGTTTAACCATTTCCTCATGGGGTATTTGGAAGTGATAAGAATCATACAACATAAAAGAAGGCAAAGGCATATGGGGAGAAGGTGAAGAGAAGGACAAAGCAAGCAAGGTCCATATACAATTATCAATGGAAGAAGGAAGAAGACTGAAAGACAGGTAGCCTAACACTCAAATAACTCTTCTTTCTACCAATTAACCCTTTCTATCTTTATCCCGTTGTCTCCTTTTCCCCACATCTTTGTTCTTTTCTTAATCGTCATTTGTGTTTCAATCACGGGTAAGGCAATCGGGTAATCGGGTAAGGCGATCAAGCTACCTGCACCTGTCTGGTTTGGTCGTTTAGCGACTCTTTC